GCAAGCATGCAGGCACGCGTGTATGTGTGCATGTGTATGTATAGACTTCAAGAGGGAGAAACGGAGTCGTCGTCGGCACACACAATCTTGATGCGACCCGAAGCTTCGCCTGCGCGTAGCAGCATTTGGCAGAGTCGTGCAAAGCAGCCGCCGGGAAGAAGCGGCGAGGTGCGAACAGACCCCCGGCGGACGCGCCCTTCGAGTTTAGGAGGAGGTCAGCACGGGGGCCTCCTCTCGCGATCGAGTCCCTTGTCAGGGCGCTGTCAGGTGTCACCATCGCCATGTCGGGGGTGGTGGCCATCGCGCCCGAAGAAGCCGACCGCCGGAACCACAAGTGGCCGATAAGCATCGCGCTGAGTCAGCTGTTTATCTGGCATCTCGCATTCTCAGGGCGCGCGCACGACAGCTCCAGGTTGGCCGCCTCGGAGAGGAGGGGGCATTCCCGGGACCAGTTTGCCCGTGGGAGCAGACAGCATTCCTCGCGGACAGATCCTCCGTTCGAAGCGTTGCCGATTGCGTCACGCTGCGCGTGCGTTCTTGTAACGACCCTCTTCAAATGTTCGAGGCGGCGCGATCGATAACGCCGGTCTCAATTCGGTCGCGTTTCGAAAAGGCGCGCGGGCGGCACTCCTCCCTTCGCTGATGGACGCACGCGAGGAAGCTTCCTGTCCACTTCTCTTTCCGTCACCACGCGTGATCGCGTTCACCCAAACACGTTTCGAGACGCTCTGTAAAGCAGGTGGTTCGCCCATTGGTTCTAACCGAAGGCGCAGTCTCTTGATGGTCTCAAAGAAGGCCTAAGTGTCGTGCCCGTCGTCGTGCGCCACTTTTTGCGCCTGTCGTCGTGAGGTTGCGCATTTGTTCTTTATCAGGGCATTGCATGAATTCGCCTGTCATTATACACCCGCACAGTGATCATACGTGCTCTGAATCATTCTTGATTAGCTCAAGATCTTTTAGCGATCAAGATAGAGGCTCTGAGTGTTCGTAATTGTAACCACTCTACCTGCTTCAAGGACGCTCTTTTATACGTATACTTATTGATTGCGTGCCGGGATTGTATGAAAGATTGCGTCGGCGTTCAGCGCATTCTACCGTGTGTATAGACAGACCGTTTCTTCCCTTCCTTCCTTAATGTTTTCATTTCTTTGCTTAGCGATTCTCGAAAACAAATTTATAGTCAACAGAAAAAAATGTTGGGTGCTTTCATCCCCAGCTTCGTGATTTTTCTCTCATGTGTGGAGTAAGAGGAAGAGATACAGTTTTAAAAATTCCGTCGTTTGAACAAAATCGAGAAAAACTCAATTCATTCCGCATGCTGTGATTTGGCGCTTGCTTTTGACTGTAAGTGGCGCGCTTTTGTGGGAACGCCGTATAGACCAATGCAAGATAATTTCCATGCACATAGGAACAAGGACGCTGTAGCGGCCCATGAGTGAGTGTGATAAAGAAAAGGAAAAGAATGCGTCATGGTCCAGGTTGTGCACGTATTGCGTGAGGTCCTTCGTCTTTAGGGTCACACAGTGTGGGAGTCCTTTACCCAACTTAGCCTCCCTGCAGTGCTTGGCAGCATTTTGAGTTGCTTTGTGTGCGTACAGGTCTATCATAATTATCTTTGATAGCACATGGCGATCAGCGTCCGAACAGATCCCGCGTGTTGCGTGTGTAGCATTGAGTGGCCTGGATGGTGATACGCTTATTCCCCTGCAATTTCACGCCTGCGCTCCAGAAAGCCCTGCGTCTTTAGAGGTTAACGTGGCGCCCATTAATCTGCGGCAAGTGCGGCGAGTGGTCACGCACGCTTGCAAAGCCCAGACTTCGCGAACGTGCGTGAGTGAGTGTGAATGTGGGCGTGCGAATAGCTCGCGGTAGCGTTCGATGTACCGCGTCTCTATTGACGCACTCTCTCTCTCTCTTTTTTAGGAACGAGTATGCCGCTGTTTTCGAAGTATACATTGTTTCAAGAAATGTGTCCAATATTCTTTGAAAATTGCAGAAAGGGGGTATCTGCGTGCTACTTGCGGCGTCGCCTTTCATGTGGCAGAAGGCATCTTCAGATGGGTACAAAGATTAATTACGGTATTAATTATAGAAATTATTACAGTTAAATTTTAACCAGTGGTAATAGCCGGTCGAGTCAAATGTGCGAATTCAAGCCCTTCCCACGAGAATTCATTGGCACTTTGAAATTCTTGAAAAGCGGCCACTGGTAATCATCGCGGAGCGATGCAATCTAGCTAATTTAGCTGGTGAAACCGACACACACACACACACACACACAAAAAAAAAAAAACCGAGCATCTACCATTCACTTCGGCAACACCCTCAATGACGACACTGTTTCCCTTGCATTGGTGCAGAAGCGAACGTCGATAAGCGGCCACGAAGCGAAGTGCCTAAATTGACGCTTGATAACGGTGAGGGAAACGGTGTCGTCACTATATAAGGGCGTTGTCGAAGTGAATGGTAGATGCGCTGTTTGGTACGTTGGTTTCGGTTTCTCCAGCTAAATTAGGCTCATTGCATCGCTCTGGAGTGATTACCTGCGGCCGCTTTTTCAAAATTTCAAGGTGCATGGCTATGCACTATTTCTATAGGAAGCGCTTAAATTCGCCCATAATGACTCGACCGGCTATCACCACTGGTTAAAAAGGTAATTGTGGTAATTTCTATATTTACAGCGGTAATTAATGTTTGTACGCATCTGTAGATGCCTTCTGCCACAGGAAAGGCAGCGCCGCAAATAGCACGCAAATACCTGCTTTCTGTTATTTTTAAAGAACATTCTACACATTTCTTGAAACACCCTGTATCTATAGAGCTTCAGGATTTCGTTTTTCTTGCGTTTGTTCTGAGTTCTTCTTTGTGCGTATTTGACAGTTAGGTGGAGGAGTAACCATAAATGTTTAGTTCACGAACGTTTTCAATCTATAAATAGTGGGCAGTTGAGAGTGATTGGTGGGCATATCGATGGGATATACCGCGAGCCCATTCGCATAACCCAACGAACGGGTAGCATGTGCCTGATTATGCAAACTAATAAAGCGTCGATAGTGATAGGCTTGCTTTGTGATAATAGGAAACAGAGAGGAAAGAAATTGAGATGGTATTGTGTATCATAGTGAAAGCGTACAGTTCTTTATACTTGTTAGCGCGTAAATGCAAGCATGGCAGTGAAAGAACCATTTTCTTGCATTAACGTGAAGCTTTGTGCTCTATTAATTTTCCCGCTTTTTTTCTAACGGACTGAAGCGTGGGCAGAACCCATTAGTAATTCGGCAACTGGGTCGCACTGCGCCACATTCAATAAATCCGCGCTCACTGATTCGACATGGACTCTTGAACGGTTGGCCCCTCATCACGTCTGTTATGGTTCCGCGCGTGCTTACACTGAGGAAACTGGCCAGCTTGCACTCTGCCTGGTGTATACCCGTGGTGGAGCTTGTGGCTGCCATAAATTATCAGCATGTTCTTTCATATATATTTTCCTGTCTATTTGCTTTTCTTTTTTTCTTTGTCTCATTAGTCATCTGTTTATTTGTTCTGTGACTTTCTTGTGTTTTTCTAGAAGGCAAAACCATTGAAAAAACGCCTATATAGGTATACGTTGCACATTGAACGTGTCAATGTCAATGGATATGCTGGCCACAGGCTTTATTATCCGGAAAATTACTTGCAAGGCGTGATACAAAACAGTTTACTTTAACTATCCTCATTTCTCGTATATATATATCGTAAGAACAAACTGTCTTTATTTATAGTGAATCGTAAGATTAAGAAGGAGACAAAGGGAGCCCGGCCGCCGAGCTATTGCGTTGCATGCGCTATATATAGGCGTGGCTGCGCCTGGACAGTCGTTCACGATGGTAATAGTTTCCTGTCGCGTCCACCGGCGGAACAAAGAACTTAAACAGTTGCGCTGTTACGTTCAAAGACGATAATCTTTATTTGGACACTTATCGCTGAAATTTTGGTCTGTCTGTCTGTCTGTCTGTCTGTCTGTCTGTCTGTCTGTCTGTCTGTCTGTCTGTCTGTCTGTCTGTCTGTCTGTCTGTCTGTCAAATGAAACGATTTAGCCACCCAGCTAAAGTTTAACCACTTGCGGAACGCCCCGCCATCTTGAACTGGTAGCTGCGTTCATACTTGTGAACGTAGTCGATCAAAAAGCAAATATTGTGCATATGTGAGCTGCAACATCAATACGTAAGTATTAGGTGGTGTGATTTTTTTACTGAAAATCACATAGATACGTAATTCTAAAAGAGATTATAGTGTTTCTTAGTCTGCGCTGAAAATGCGACGCTATGAGGCTATGCACGAAAGAAGGCGGGCAGAAGGCTATCTTCTTTTGACGACATCGCCCCGCCGCCGTGGTCTAGTGGCTAAGGCACTCGGCCGCTGACCCGCAGGTCGCGGGATCGAATCCCGGCTGCGGCTGCTGCATTTCCGATGGAGGCGGAAATGTTGTAGGCCGGTGTGCTCCGATTTCGGTGCACGTTAAAGAACCCCAGGTGGTCGAAATCTCCAGAGCCCTCCACTATGGCGTCTGTCATATTCATATGGTGGTTTTGGGACGTTAAACACCACGAATCAATCAATCAATCCTTTGACGACATCTGCAGTGATGTACGCAGATACGTGGCCAATTTTATATATATATATATATATATATATATATATATATATATATATATATATATATATATATATATATATATATATATATATATATATATATGAGTCCACAATTCAGCTGCAGCATTGTGAAGACATGAATTCGCTTTCCGACCCAGGTGGCACGACCCAGTTGGCGATAGCATTTCATTTTGAGCACCTTCGGTATTCAGAAACTTTGTCACCTGTTCTGGCTAACCTCCATGTCCTTCCTCTTTCCTTCCTTCTTTTATCCTCCTCCTCTTCCTCCTCCTTGGTAGTTAAGTGCATCGCCTTCGAGTACCCTTTATATATACAATGTATGCACACTTTATCTAATGCCGCAGGAGGATGTTCCCTACCGTACGAGTTTCCTTCTCCGGGGTGCAGCCCGACGCTCGGTACATTGTGCTCCTGGACATCGTTCCTGTGGACAACAAGCGGTACCGGTACGCGTACCACCGGTCATCGTGGCTGGTGGCCGGCAAGGCGGACCCTCCGTCGCCGGCGCGCCTCTACGCACATCCGGACTGTCCCTTCACGGGGGACCAGCTGCGCAAGCAGGTCGTCTCCTTCGAGAAGGTCAAGCTCACCAACAACGAGATGGACAAGCAGGGACACGTAAGTCGTTCTTCTTTCGCTGTCCTGCGCTGTATAGACGTGACGAAGGGCATCACACACAGTCCTCCTGTCTTTGCGCCGTCGGTCACGCTCTATGTATTGACCTCATTACGCTTCAATGGTGCTGGGACTGATATACCCTTTAAATGACAACCATCATCATCGTATTTATGATCACTGCAGGATGAAGGCGTCTCCCAAATATATCGACCATTGCTTTGTTAGGGCTAGTTCCAAATTGAGCCCGCAAACTCGCTGATTTCATTCCGACACGTTTTCTGTGTTGGCTTCCCTTCCTAATCTCTCTCTGTAATAGACCTACGCACTATAGACCCGCGTTGCTGCGTCTGCTGAGCTACATTTTTTTTTCTAATAATGACAGTACCCCCGTCTTGCTTTCGAATCTGCACCGGTCTTTCTTTCTCTCTACGACATTTTTTCCATGCTTTAGATCTGTGAGCTAGTCTTGTGGAATTATTTTGTTGAACTCGAAGATTCTGCCCTATATGTAAATAGTACCAATAGCATGTAAGAAACTGTCCACTTCTATATTTAGAATAAAGGGAAGCAAGTGGACATGACTTGGTAATACCTCGCATATGTACCTCATTTCCATTCATTCGTGGATTTCCCTCTCACCTGTCAATATTTGGCCTTCGTAAACATATGCTGTGTTTCAGATTCAAGAGGCGAACTCCAATAAATGTTTTCTTGCCATGCTTTTGAGCATATCGGTTATTTTCTGTTATAATAATATTCAACCTTACTCTTATACATTGTCAGTTGAGGTTCTGAATTGTTTTTTTTTTCAAACCATCTCCAGCATTGAAGATGTTATCTGCAAACCGTAGGTTGCGGAAATATTTTCGTTAATATTCACTCCTATATAGTCTTTCTCAGTATAATAGTTCCAACACATTTTGAAAGCATGCTGTGAATAGCATTAATGATGTGTACACTACTCTGACACCTTCAATGATCACGATTGTTCCGTGTTTCTGGTGGGGGACTAAATCAGCAGTGCGGCCTTCATATATATTTGCGAAAATGAAAACGAATACTAATACGAGTTGGTGTCGCTCCATGCTTGGTTAGGCGCATGGACGAACCTTTAGAAGATATTGGAGGGCACATCAAGAAAAAAAAAAAAATCCAGGCGGCATAAATCAAGCGTGTTAGGCGAAATGTGTTTTAGCTGATTGACTCCCTTTACGCATAGATTTGCTGTATAACATTTCATACTGAAGCTTTAGCACACATAGACGAGGACACAGACGAAAGTGACACAATGACCAGCGAATACTAGCAGCTGATTTTTATTGAATAAGAAAACGGAATATATACTCTCTTCAGCACCTCATGATCACTACTCATGAGCAAAAACAGCATCGTGCAAAAATAAGCAAATAAATCATTTAACAGATGCTGTGGAATATAACATGTTATTCAGCAATTCAATTTCTTTTTCATTCAGCGATATTGAAGAATGACTAACGCACATATATGTAAATCTAAAGATATGTCACGCTTCTGTAATTTTTCTTGCTGTCTGATTAAAGAAAAGATACAGAACTTCAGTTTGAACAACGCACACAATGCAATGCTAGATGTCTGGACTAAATAGTCAACTTCGCGCCGAATTCGCAACCAGACAGAGGAAGAAAACTCATAGACATAACAACGCCCGTGCTGTCTATGTGTTTTCTTCCTCTGTGTGGTTGTTAATTTGGCGCGAAGTTGACTATTTAATCGAAACATGCACCAACTATATCCCAACAGCGAGTTCTGCTAGAATGCTGTAGATGCATTTCCGGCCTTCGCTTCAAATTGGTCAAGTGCTCTTTCAATCTCACATTGAAGCAACGGTCATTTTGACCGACATAACAGTGTCCACAACTGAAAGGAGTTTTATACACTATAAATTTCTTTTGCACTCGACCACCTGGTGATCTGCACGCCTGGATCATTTACTACCGATATCATTTGTCCTTTTTTCGTCCAGATTATTTACAGCCGGACACACGCGTGATACTTCGTCCCTTGCCGAGAATACTACTTTGACATGCATACTTATAGCTGTCACCTCCTTAAGCTTATGAGAGAAACCATGCACGTAGGGGATTACCGAAATTTTCTCTGTATCTTGGCTTCTTTCCACTTTCTCCCCGGCTTTCATTTTGTTCAATGACCTTTTGCTTTCAGTTAGAAGAGTCGAGTGAGGGTATCCAGCCTTTTCCAGTTTTACCGTCTGCTCTAGAAAAGAATCCTTTAACTTGTGTTTGCATGTTTTTGTCAGAGCTGAACCTAAACACCCCATTGCTTCGTTCGCCTTCTGCAGCTAAAGCTTCAGTATGCCGCAAAAGAAACTAGCCCATCTTTCGGTATTACGGCATAGTATTGCTGTATACTATAAGGTTATTCCTGTCTGACTTCATGCGGTAGTTTTTAAAGCTGGTAATTTTTTAAAGTTTTTGCGACGACTTTCCTGTTATAAATAACTTCGAGGCATGCACTATATACCAACTCAAAAAAGGGAAAAAAATCGAACGAGCAGAGATTAGTAGCTTTCGATCAGACGCATAGAGGCTTCAGCTCATGCTTAGTGAACTATATGCATGAACTAATTGAACTAGAAAAAAAAGAGAAACCAATCGTTGAACATACAACATCGGTATCTGAATAATACACACAAATCTAAATGGGCAGCCAGGTGAAAGTGAGCAATATTGTTCTCTACTGCTACATTTTACGTATGTACTACGACTCTAAATGATCAATGAGAACTGTTCGAACAAAGTAAAACTAAAACTAAATTTATACAGGATGTCCCACGTAATTTGAGCCAGAGTTTAAAAATGTGCCGGAACACGTAATTACGACGCGACCAAATGCATGTTACCGTTGCCTGGAGTTAGTCAGATTATTTTATTGTGTTCTCAAATAATAATTGTTTAATTAGATATGTTTAATTAACTAACTTTTAAAGACACGAAGATAGATAAAAATTTCAATGAAAAAGTTGTAGATCGGTTTGCAAAACGTCTGATTAGACAGTATTGAACTTTATATCTGTTAGGCATTAGTGTTTTTCTGGTAATTGCAAGTGACCCCGAAGTACAAAAAAATACCACGTGACAAACCCGCTCGCGCGTTAGGGCGCACGATGATTCTAGTGCTCCATTACGTTCCGCGTACGAACGACACGCTTCCCTCGCAACGGTTCATGACAGCGATAAGCAGTCACAGTGGTTATCGTTTTTCTGGCCGATAGCAAAACGTGTTCATCGTAAAGCCACCACCATGGTTGCGGCCCTGCCGAGACAGCACAATGGGCCAAATAGGTCGTTCGTACTCGGAACGTTAGGGAGCGCTAGAATCATTGCGTGCACTGGCGCACGAGCGGGTTTGGCACGTGGTATGTTTTAAGTTCGTGGGCATTTGTATTTAGCAGAAAAACACTAATACCTAACAGATATAAAGTTCAAAACTGTCTAACCGGACGTTTTGCAAACCGATCTACAACTTTTTCATAGAAATTTTTAATCTATCTTTGTTTCTCGAAAAGTTAGTAATTAAACGTATCTAGTTAAACAATATTTGAGAACACACAAAATAGTCTAACTCTAGGCAACCGTGAGCAACATGCGCTTGGTTGCGTCGTAATTACTTGTTCCGGCATATTTTTAAACTCTGGCTCAAGTTACGTGGGACACACTGTATACTTAACGACACACCCAATATAAAGCATGAATAATAGACAACGAAAAATCCCATATAAGCGAAAGGAAAAAAATTACTACATTACATTTTGCACACTGTTAGTTTTAGCTGAACCCCTGACTGTAGGTTCCACATTATTGCTATCGACTGACATGTGTATACTGTATCAAAACTGTGACCGTAGACAGCGCTTTGAAACAGCCTAAGTGCCTGTACATCGCTTCGAAGAGCTGTCCGAAATGTGCGAGGTTGAGGTGGAATTTCGGCGAGGTGTGCGCTGGGCTCGAGACGGTTGTCAGAGCGACAGTCGGGGGAGATCGGTATACTTCGATGAGCGTCCCACCCGGCCTGCGACTGTATACGGCGCGCGGCCGAGGACCAGCGTGGCGTCCATATACAGGGGGCCGCGAGGCAGGGCAGATTAGCGGACGCACTTAGGCAGATCGTGGCACGTAATGACTTTGGACAGAAATGCTCGCGCGGAATTCCACTCGGAGCGTCCACTCCCGGGGTTTTGCAAAGCTCGCCGGGGGCGCGCGCGCGAAACGGTACATAATACTCGCGTCACGCGAGGAAGTCTCGCCCGAACCAGACCGCGCTGTGTAATTCGCGGTTTGCATATTTATAAGCGCCTGCCACGAAACCTATTATCCCAGGGTCATTGAAACGCCGCCTGGTCGACTCTCTGACAGCCCCAGAAAACTGGCAAGGGAGGGACGAACGGGGCCGTGACGGAGCATGCATATTCGCGAGTCCGCCTCGCTGTGACATATCCGAAGATGATACAGACGACGCAGTGGCGAACAACGAGCTGTCACGAGGGGGCGACTTTGACGAAAATGGATGTGCGCGCGCGTTGGGCTCAGTTCTTGGCGAGTCATGAGACACGCGCACCGTGTCGACTGCACACCCGGCCCTCTCGGCGGGGAGCCTGTTCGGAGAACAATTACCCAGCACCGCAGAGCGCGTGCCGCAAGGGGGTCGCCCAAGGCGCGGAATGCCGCGCTCGGACACCGCTCGCATGTTCTGCCGCGACTGTGCGACGCGTGGCTGCACCGACTCACGTTATACAACACACGCAGACAGCTCTTGGTCGTCGGCTACGCTCTTATTTCGCTCTTTGCCCGCTAAGCGATTTCGGCAAGGGCATTGTGTGCTGAAAAAAGCGCGCCTTTCTGCAACCACTGAAGACAGTCGCTTTTTGTGCCAACTGCTCACGGCCATTACGAATGTGACGTGTAGTGGCCAGTGTAGCGTGTACTCTCAGTCTCAAGTAGTGC